ATTTATCTGAAGAAAATGAAAACAGTAACTCGAAAAGACATCTACATTCTCATGTTCACTACAGCATCATTTACAATAGCTGATATGGATGCAACTGAAGTGTCCATCGATGGATAAATGGATAAAGAAACTGATTAATGGATGAAGGTAATGTGAAACATTAATCATAAAAAAGAACAAAATCTTACCATTTGAGACAACATGGATGGACCTTGAGGACACTGTGCTAATTTTTCTTGTGATCTCACTTACATGTGGGACCTAAAAACAAAACAAACCAAACCAAGTTCACAGATACAACGAGCAAACTGGTGGTCGTCAGAGGCAGGAGTGAGTGGTCGGTGGAGGTTAAAGTAATTAAGACCTGAGGATGTACTGTTTAGTATGGTGACTGACTAACCATGCTGTATTTGAAAGCTGAGAGTAAATGTTTAATGTTCTAATCACAAAAAATCATAGGCACCATTTCAGAATACACATGTATCTAATCTTTACGCTATACACCTGAAACTATTGTTGCCTGTTAATGACAACTCAGTAGTTTAAAAAAAGCTTAATTCCACCTCTTAGGAAACATAAACTTCCAGGGAAATAACTGGTGTTGGCTGTGGCATCCTGTCAGCACAGGGGCTGGAGCTAGAGAGCAGCACACAGCCTGACCCTGCTTACAGTGACACAGAACCCACCAGCACCCTTCGCTGGGACCCCGTCTTTACTGCTCCCTTTTCTGATCCACTTCCAAGGAGGCGTGACTTCAGGAATCTGAACTGGGTCTCCCCTGGCTGCCCAAGACCCAGGGCCTGCCCACGTCGGCAGGGAGCGGCATGGCTGCCCTGAGGGCCATCTGAGAATTGCCAGGTCCCTCTACTCATGAGGGCCCCTCCCAGCCAGCACTGTCACCTGCAGGTTGCTGACCGCATTCCTTGGCCCAGGGGTTGTTCCCTGCCTGGAGGCCCACTGGTCCCTGGATCGGCCAAGTGGGGGCCATGTGTAAGTCCTGCTGACCTGCTGGCAGGTCCCACCCAGGTGGTCAGGGAGCTTGCACTTCTTCAAGTTCCCGGGGTGGTGCGGGGGGGAGGCGCTGGACTGGGGACCCCACTTTGAGGAGGACTGAACATTTCATGGTAGGAAGAGGATAAAGTTTAGGGGTGGGTTCGTCTGTCTGGACCAGGACCCCGAGGTCAACTGGTCGGCAGCCAGGTGCAGACAAAAGGGGTCTGGAGGTAGCCTCGCCCACTAGCCCCACCGAGCCCATCAGACCAGGCTCCCCAGGCTGGGGTAGAGCTAGAGCTTCAGTGTGGCCCCAGGGGCTTCTGACAATGTTGAGCAGCTTGAAATCAGTCGATGCTCCTCAGGGTGCTGGAATCCTGTGTCCACAGGTGTGTGTGTTCATCCCACGTGCACATGAGCGTGTGCAGGCTCCACGGCTGTCTTAGGCTAGTTCAGTGGGTCACACCTACTGTGGACACTACCTATTGCACTGAAAAAGACCCGGTCTCCAAACAGACCTTGGGAGGCCCAGAAGCCTGAGCTATTGCAGGCGTGGGATGGCTCCAAGGGGTCAGCATGGGCATGGGCTACCGCTGAACTAAGGTCAAGTCCATCACAGTTTCTGAGGCTCACTTAGGATTTGAACATGATGGCCCCATCTCTACCCCAGGTGACTTTATGTGGGCATCTCCTGAGACAAGGCCATTTAACAGAAGAAACAGAAGAGCCCAACACAGGGCTACTTATTCTCGTGGTAAACCTTGGATTTAATGAACTGTGTTCTCACCAATACTTGCCTGAGCTCCAACCCTGCAGGCTGACAACTGAGCCACGGGGCACAGGACTCCCACTGCAAAGACTTACGAGACGATGGAACCTGGACTTCATTCTCACGACACACGTGGGATCAGACAAAACACTATTTTTTAAAAAGTTGCATTCTTTAAAATTATAATTTTTAAAAAGTCAAAAGAAAACCCAAACAGTGCCTAAATCTTTATTTTTCATAACCTACATTTTTTCAAATTAGACAGTTTTACACTGAATGACACAAAAGGAAACTTAAATTACCAATAGTTTACACATAAGCTTGATTCCAGTCTTAATGAAAAAAAGTGGAACAGAAACAGAAGCCCTGGCGAGGCGTCCGTGCCCTGCCCTCCTGCAAGCTGGTGCCACGGCTGCTCCTTCAGGCCCATCGTCCGCTGCTCCTCGGACCTGGATGCAGACTCCGGCCAGGCCTGCCCCGAGGCCAAGGCCCCAGTGCAGACTCCACGTGGCGCTGTGGTGGCCCTGACCGTGTAGCAACATGACACATTTCTTGCCACACTAGTGACCACCAGTGGTGGTTACAGGAGGGCCTGATAAGAAATAGCATGACACGGACTCTCTGAGAGCAACGACTGTGAGAAATTCATGTGAAACAGGGCGGGGCTCTCCCCCCCATCTCTCCAAACGACACTGCACAATTGTCCGAGGAGAATGCCGTCTGTGCCGCCATCTCTGACTCTACCTGAGGGACTGCCCGCAGAGAGGTGCTACGTGGCAGGAAGCCAGACACCCCCGTGCTTTCTGTGAGTGGAAAATCTCAGGAACCTCAGAAAGGCGGGGTTGGGGGACATTACATGGCTATTTGGCATATCACCCTTGCTTAATTAAAAAGGATGCGCTAAAAATGACATCCAAGTGAAGTCTGGACTCGAGGCTGCGGGAGCGGAAGCCTCCTGTGACCGACAGGTCACACCACTTGGGGGCCCGGCTGCCGTCACAGGGCCACACAGCACAGATGGCCCTCCAGGGAGGAACCTGCCGCTACTGAAAACGAGTGTCTGGGCTCCATGGGGCTTGGACTTCAGGGCGACGTGCTGCATCGCTCCCTTCTCCGGCAGCCACATCACGGGGTCCTGGGCCTCTCCAGCTCTTCCTATAGTATGCACTGGTTTCGGTGGAACAGGTCAATCATTTCAAACTCTCTTAGTCAGCAATCTCACAACTACAATGAAGTAAGCTCCCTGTTCCTTTCAGGGGCCTCGGAAACATGAGCACCGTGTGGGTGTCCAGGCCTTTGAACAAAGACGCTGCTCTCCAGGAGACGGGCCTGCTTTCCTCCGCAGGCGTGTCATGCTTATTAGCCATTTGTGATTTTAAAGAGATTATTTTTCACTTTCACTTGCAGATCCTGCCAGTTTCCACTTTACAGATTATATTTTGAAAACCCTTTCACAATTAGCTGTGATTAGTACATACTTAACATACTTTTAAGAAGAGCATGAAAACATTCGAAGGTTTTAATCAGACTTCCATCTCCCTTTCGCAGCAGCAAAGAGGCAGAAATCATTTCAACACACCAGTACAAGAGAAAAAGAAAAAAACTTCAACAAATTAAAATAATATTCAAACCACAACATTGAGTTTATCTACATCCAGGTCAATAGTAACATTTATAATATATCAATTTTTATCAGATTTTTCTCTTTAGGGTACCTTTTTAATATGTTCTGATTATTTACAACTGTACAAGCAAAGCACACACTCCCAAGTGCACATATTTAATACAGTATCGACTATCTGCATTTACAGGATTTTTCAACAATCTGAAAAAAGATCAATTGTGTAAGATCTTCCAGCTAAATTACAAACACAACTGCTAGTCCTTCCTACAGTGCTCACCCAGTGACACCGTGACAGCAGACCCCACTCATGCCAACCCAGGCCCATCTCAGAACTCTTAAACTGTCCTATACAAAAGTTAAGGCAAAGTCATTTTCAAGTTTAAATAAAATTCAAGTCTTTAAATATTGGATGGAAATAATCTCTTAAAAAAAAACCCCTCAGTCTTATTAAATAACATTTTGTGGAATAAACTGTATGGTTACATTTAGCAGGAAATATTCTTATTTTAATGTCTGCTGCTTAGGATACTTAAAGAAAAAATTTAGGCATTTTAAAACAAAATAATTTATGTTAAACTTTATTATCAACTGCTAGCTTTAGTGCATGCGTGTTCTTGGAGAGCAGCACTTGGAGAAGGGATCACTGACCCTGTCTTGGAGGTAAGGAGAGTGGGCTGGGACCCTCCGCCACCAGAGGGCACCACGGCCACCTCCCCAACGATCCCCGCCCAGGAAGACCTGGGGGGTGGGGGTGGCAGGGAGGACCAGGGAGGCCTGGGGAGTGGGGTGGGGCAGGGGGGGCCAACTGTGAGCCGGGCTCCATGCCCTCCCCACCCACTCGCGGGAGCAAAATGTCAGGGTACAATTTCGTGGTAACATGTCAGTGGGCTACAAAGTTTATATTTCATTTGAATTCTATTCACAATGTGCTTTGAGTTTATCTTACATAACAGCCACTTGAGACTAGAGTGAGGAGCTGGTTACTTGCTGGCAGGACAAGAGGGCTCTCGGGGCTGTGCAGGCTTACTTCGCCCAGTGGACCGAAACTGGACTCTGCTTAGAAAATGCTAGAACCACCTGTTAGGCTTCCGAGTGAAGGGCAGCTCCCAGGCTGGCGAGCCCCGCCTGCTCCCCCAGGCTGTGCTCACAGCATCACCTCAGTCCTCCTCCCTCGGTTCTCAGCTTCACCCGGCGGCCTGGACATCTCAGAGATACGCACTTGCTAACCAGTTATTTTAAAAAAATGAAGTAGCATAGTTCCACTTAATTTAGAAAAACTCACTATATATATAGCTTGCATTCATAGCCACATGGAGGCTTAATAAAAAATATCAATTTGTTAGGATAAATGCATTTTCTATCCTGAAAAAAATCAGACTTATGCATCACCTCCAGTTAAGCACCAACCTAAAATAAGGTTTATATTAATTAAATCCTGAAAAATAGATTTTTTTCAAGAGGGGGGAAATCCGACTCATAGAAGAAAAATAACTTGCAGGCACCTTGTGGGCCTCGTCTACACTGCAAGCTCCTAGCCAGCGGCTCACTCACGTCTGAGCGGGACAGTGCCTAGTTGTGGCGACCTCAGCTCCTCGCAGCCCTCCCAGACCTCGGTGCTCACTGAGGGGGCCTGGGTGGGGGGCTCTGTTCTCTGTGCGGACGCCGCCCCAAGCCCGGGGGTGACGGCCGGCGGCCCAGTGGCCTCCTCTGGTCTTTGGGTGGTCCTGGGCTGGACTTGGGGGCGGGGGGCTCTCTCTCCGTGACCTTCCTCTCTTCCTTCCCACAGCCGACTGTGTTTGGCTTCTGTTCTTTCTGGGGTTGCAACGGGGAAGACGGTGGCTCTCTACTTGTCCTCTGACAAATCTCTGCATAGCTGGGTTTTCGCAATTCCTGGGAAATGGACAACTCTGGGATTAGTGTGATGACATTTGAGAATCAGGCTCACAGAGGCAGAGGTACAAGTTTCCAGCTGTAACCACATTCAGAATTATCTTAAATGAAGAGTTCCTGCATTTCAACAACTGAGTTTCCCCTGGAGCACAACTTTCCCTCCAAGACACTCTACAAATACTTTGTAAAAATGGATAAAAGGATAAAAGGCACGGAGAAAAAGAGTGCCAACTGAATTCCTTCAAGCCTCTGGCCTGTGGGCACTTCCGAGGCACCGACAAGCCCAAAGAGGCGGCAGAACTAGGCAGCTGCAAGAACGAGAGCAGCAGCTGCTTTTGCCGGCCACTCGGCCTCCGGGACTGGGGAAGAGGATGGCCGGCCGTGTGGGGGGCTGGAGGTGTGATGCAGGAAAGTCAGAGGTAACAACTTAAAAAAGGGGAGGGGGGTTTCCAGGTAAGTGGAAGCATGAAGACTAAATGACAGAAGAGGACATTTAAAGCTGTCATCTCCATCAACCAATTGTAACTTAAAAATAAAAGGAAGAGCAGTGGGGTGGGAGATGGGGAGCCCTCTGATCCACGAGGCACAAGAGCTGAAAGCCGCAGCTCCTCGGACGATGAACAGCCACAGTGGTCAGCTGGAATTATCACTCAAGGCCCTGGTACCCTGTGCAGAGGGCCTGCTGCGCACGCGTGTGGCCACCCCTTCTGGGAGCACCTGGGCATCCCCCCACCCCCGCGGGCACGTACCGAGGCGGCACCGTTCACCTGCACCGATTTACTTGCAGTGGTGTTCAGGGCCAGGGTGGGAGGCGGTCTGTCCATAGTTGGGGTTTCCCTCTGCTTCTCCACCACCTTGGCATCCCTGGAAAGATGCCACCAGGCACACGCATGAGTGGACATGAGCGGGCAGCCCCACAGAGGGCACTGGGCACGGGTCCCGGGCACGGCTGGACTTACTCGGGTGGGCGGGCAGGGGAGGGGGTGCGCTCGCAGGCTGCGGACACGGCACAGGGCGCTGAGGGTTCTCGGGGGGGCACCGCGGGAAGAGTGTTCGTGCTGGCGTCTGCATTCAGGCTCTGAAACCACCAAGAACAGTTCATCACCGCATAGACACATGTCTAGCAGGTCTCTGTCAATGATCTTAAATACACAGCGACAGAGTCCGCTGTCTTCAGGAGCAGGCGTTGGCCGACCCCGGGCAGAGTGCACCCTGCAGCCTCCCCTCCTCTGGGCAGACCCCGCCAGTCTCTGGCCTTCCTTAGTGTGTGAGCACAGCGGCTGGCACACCCACTGTCCCAAAGGGACTGGACTGCACTCATCTGAGCTGCCGGCACCTGAACTCTCAAATATATGGCACAGAGTCCCCAGCAGAGTCCAGCATGGCTTGGCCTCCCAGGGACATCAGTGCATGGCTCCACATTGACTGAACCTGAGCGCCTCAAGGGGCGAGGGCGGCAGTTCCCACCTTAATTCACCAGCAGCCCCTGAAAGCTGATGTGAATTCTCCTGACTCAACAGAAAGCAAAGAGACTTAGTCCGTTTAAGGCAGACACCTGGCAATAGGCAGTGACCACTCAAACACACAGCCATTTGTTAACTAAAAAAGGCGACAGAGCAAATAAAGAGCTGGAAGGGAGCCTGACTGCAACAGGCCTTTTCTCAAAGTCTCGCTTTTCAAAGCAGATAGAAAGTTCAGAAGTGAGAACTCTGGAGGAAACAGCACTGCCCTCCCCACCCAGGAGACCAGGGTTTGATCCCTGGGTCGGGTAGATACCTCCTCCTGGAGGAGGGAATGGCTACCTAAGCACAGGGGAGGTGGTGACGGTGACCTGGGGGCCATAAGAACCATCATCTCTCTTGATTTTGTACTCAAGGGTGGCGGAAACATGGGTGTGGAAATGCCTCCTTTGTGTAAAAGCTCCCTCACGCCCAGGGCATGTGGGGTGCTGCTGTGCTGTCAGAACCTGTCCCATCTGAGGCCTCCCAGGGCCCTACACGCCACCAAGGTCTTCTGTTGAGAAGCAGGGACATGGGCCCTTCCAGCTGGAATCAGGCTCAGACTTCTTAAAAGCAGCAATTCTTTCCTCAAGATAAATTTCACACAAACTTGAAATGTAAAAAAAAAAAAACAAAACACAATAGTAACAAGAATTTTTTTTTAAAAGCTATTTTTGAAACAGGGTAGAGGCCTGCTTGTCCTACTCCTCTGCCTGCCTTGAGGGGAATGGGGTCCATGTGAAGCTAGGACTCGCCGCACCAACTCTGCTATCACTTCACGGGGCACTGACACCTCAGACATCACTATTTGGAGTTTAAGGTATACAGTAACACACAGGGCACATCAAGTTTATTAAGTGTTTCTCTCTAAAATAAAATGCGGAATCCTCTCAGTCTCGAAGGCTAAAAACAGGAGCAGTAATCACACACCAGTATGAGACAACTAAAGACCTGGCTTAAAGGGTACCTTGACCCTGCCTGGCACCAAGGAGCTTGCAGGGCTCCCCAGTGCAGATGCTGTGGATGGGGTCTGCCAGGCAGTGCCCAGAGTGGGGGATTCTGACTCACATCTGGGGGCAGTAGGTGGGGTAATGGTGGCAGAGGGAAAGGATATGGAGGTGATAGTGAGAGCCAGGCCGAGAGCTCAGCGGGGTGCTGGGCGAGGCATTCCGGCCCTCCTGCCCTGGTCCTGGCAGCAGCTCGGTCCCTCTGCTGTTGCTGGCAGCAGAGCCACAGGGAGCGCCTGGCGCCCACGGTGCTCGTCATTCCCAGGATGGAGTCACTGCTAAGGAGTGACCCCTGGGAGCGTGGCAGCACAGAGGTCACCGAGAGCCTCTGGTATCACAGTAAAGTTACTCAGGCTTTTGGTTATTCATGTAGATTATCCAAAACATGTTATTTCTGGCATAATTCAGATTTTTCCTTTTACTCTGCTGATTCGGAAAATGAAAGCAGGTCCTAAAAACTAAGAATAATGACTCAACCTGCATTTCTATAGCCCAGCAGGGCAGGGCTCCTCTCTGACCCTGCCGCTCAAAACCTGGGAGACCACTGCATCACTTGCCCTCCATAAGCCTCTTCCACACACGGACACGGCACACCCATGAAGAGCAGGAGCGAGCATCAGGCTCGGACATCTTACCCTTTCTTTGGACGTTCCTGCGAGCAAGCCAGACAGCCTGTTCTCAAACAAGTCCTCTGTCTTCAAATGCCCTGCTGCCCCAGGCAGTGGGGGGAAGCTGGACAAGCCTAATTCGAAGCTGGGGGACGGCGGTCTGGGTGGCGTTGGAGACTGAGTCTGACTCCTCTGAAAGAGAAGAACATGGTGCAGTTGCCCAGGGTGGCTGGGCAAGAGGGGCTCAGAAATACCTCCCTAGTCTCTGAGGTCCTCAACCCTGCCAACGTGGTCACCTATCAAAGGTCACCTGGTTAGGCAGCTTCACCCAGGAAAGTGGAGCTGAAAAGGCAGAAGGAACCGCAGGGCTCTGCCAGCCACGTTCAAACATGCAGTAAGAGCTGGGTGTGTGCGACACCCAGACCTCCAGGCAACTGACACAGACCAGTGGGACACAGCAAAGTCCCGAGAGCTTGCGTCTTGACATTAACCTTATTCACCTCCACACAAGTTCTGTGTTACCACAGCACAGTCTATAATCTAAGAAATAGAGGAGAAAGTAGAAGAAAACAAAAGTCATGCTCTCAACTCTGTACAACTTATGTTAGAAATTTCACAAGGATTTCCACTAAAAAAAAGTCTAATATAATAGGGAGGGGGGTTTAATTATCTGAAAATTAACTTACTGAAACCCCTAATATTTTAAAATCAGCATGTAAAAGCATGGTATTTAACAAGAGATTCTATCACACTCCCTGACTTCAAAAGCGTAAACTCAGCATAATACCGGAGTAAAACTTTTAAGTCCAAGACCTCAAGAGAAAGGCAGTGATGTATTTTTTTTACTATAATGCTCCTAGTCAGCCTACCAGCAGCCGTTCTGAGCACCCAGCTCCTGAGCTGAGAGAGACAGGGCGGAAAAGGGATATGAGCTTACAATGCGGGAGAACACAGGTATTTTCAGCTGAATGGTGGGCTACTTGAACAGGAAGCCATGCCCTCTTGTGGCTTACTTCACAGGAAAGGCAACAATTTCCCAGAAACTTAACACCAACAGGCATCTCTACAAAAGTAAAATCTAGAGAAACTGTGGTAGAGCTCAGGAGGCCAGGTCAAGGATGAAATCAAGCTGACCACTGCCCGAGTATGCTCTGGGCCTCTGGCTGTCTACTCCAAAGCACTGGTGCCTACAGGCCGCCAACCGTGCTTGCGTGCGTGCCCTCCTCCGAACCAGGCTGCACTGTGCCCTGCAGCCCAGCACACGCTGGGTCATGCTCACCTCAAAGCAATTTTCAGAGGCTTCACTCTAAAGCTCTGCATGTTTCTGAGGTGAACCCAGCTTTTCGGAAGACGAGCATTTCTAGGAAGGAAGACCTGTCTTTTAGGACCAAAGAGGCAGCGTTTGAACATTTTTAGAGTCTGAATGGCTTTAGGTGAGGCACGAGTGCCATCCCTGGTCCCAGGGAGCATAGCCTGGACTGTAGTTCATGTCTGCCACCTGCCTCCAAGCTTCTCAGGTGCTCAGAACACCCACTGCAGCAACGGGCTCACTGTCGAATACACACACCTGCACCACGTGCGTGGGTATCTCAGTGGTTCCAGGCATGAACACACAGATCAGGAACACGACACAGAACGAGACTGGCATGGCGATGGGATACATTTCCCCCTGGAGATGATGCAGTGAGCAGGGGGATGACTCCTGTGGGGTGGCCAGGATCTCAAGAGACAGATGCCCATTCTGTTGGCCCAAGTGTACAGGAATTCATGAATTCCAACTGGAACCAACCGACACAAACTGCTTTACCAAAGGAGTCACCAAAAACTAGACTGAACTGAAAAATATGGTAAAATCAGGATGTTCACTTATTACCAATGCGCACTTTCTAAACTCTCTGCAAATAAAAGCTATGTCCTGTAAGGGGAACGCGTAACTCAATGGCTTGGGGCTCTAAGGGTCTTCTCCAGCTTCCAGGTGAGGAGCTCTGCATAGAGAGCCCACATCCACAAGCACACTGCCCACACTGCCAGGTGCTCGCCCTCATCAGAGCCCTGCAGAGTGTCACCCAGAGGGAGAGCTGCTCAGTCACTAGGCAGACACAGTCACCCATGTACACCCATCACTGATTTTGGGTTTGTCCTGAACCATAAGCTACAGCAGAAGGCACTGTGTAGAATGCTTTCTACACAGTGAGTACAGAGTAAAATATTTTGAAAGAAAAACACTGATGAGCTAATTCCTACGTGGGAGAAGTTCATTCTGCTTGTCCATACTCAAGGTCCCAATAATTTCAAAGTACACCACTACCTGGTTACCCGCACAGAAAGCACCCATCTGGATGCATGTGGATAGACCACATGTGTGCAAGGTGCCCCTGGGTGCACCTGTGTGCTGCACAGGGTATAGAGCAGTCAGCGGTTTCTCAGGAAACCAGCCATCACCTCCTCTTCAGAGCATCGAAAGGGGCCATTATCACCCAGCCGACACCACGTGGCGAGAAAACCGCAGGACCACGTCTAAAAGCTCCTTCTCACACCTTCATCAAACCTCATGCTTGTTCAGTGTAAGCGGGGTTGAAACATCAGGCAAAAGCGGCAGGGTTCTGAGGTACTCACTGTGAACTTCTCCTCCCGCTTCTTCCGATAACCAAAGGAGCTCTTCCTAGAGAACAGGAAAGCAGCAGACTGTGACCTTTTCCACTGGCAACAGATTTCACTGAGCACAGTCTTCACAACTTTGTAATCTACTATAGATGACTTTAGATTCTAAAATCCCAATCTTATAAGCAAAACAAAAATTTTATAATAAAGAAGTAAAACTGAAGTCTAGATAGGGATATAAAAGAAAACACTGATCTAAATAATTTTTCCATTTAGGATTTTTGTTATGATATGAATATTCGAACATCCATTCAGCTGGAGTGGCAAGGTGTGTAAAATCCGACACAGAGCTATGAAGGTGAACTGCGAAAAAAACAGCAATGACGATCCATCGGATTGATCATCCAAGGGCACAGTGCCCAAGTAGCCTGGTCCACTCCCAAGCCCCCAGCCCTCACTCCACTGAACCACATGGGGCTTCCTCTCCCGTCTGGCAGTCTTTCACTTCATGGTTCCCAAGGCATGTTTCCAAGGTTCAAGGTCTAAACCGCTGGCTTCAGTGCCTTTCCCCAAACTCAGCTTAAGCCCACCAACAACCCCACCTTCTGAATGGATGTCACACAGGCCTGAGGGCACCAAGACACTTCACTGCCCTGACAGCTTCCATGGTCTGATAATCCATACAGCTGCCCAGCCAGGGCCAACACATTAATGACCAGGACCCAGGGTCTGGCCCACCCTCAGTTCCCATGAACAGTGTCCTGTCACCACAAAGATGGAACCAGTCAAGTCTCTGCTCTAAAAGTAACCCTGTGAATGACTGACTATACAAGACCTTGGATAGTTATAGCCTTCCCTTTGATTTCCTGTAAGCGACATCTAAATTCATAGAATTTGACACTACTAATGGTTTTAAGTAGTGCCCACAGTACCCGTCCAACAGAAATCACGAGCACTCACCTCCCTCTACCTAAGCCCGGGGAGGACTCGAAGCTGCTCTGCTCCACGCGCCCGGGCCCCACATCTCTTTTGGCAAAGGCCGGAGGGTTCTGGAGCCGAGCTCGCGGCTGAGCCGTCTGCCTCACTTGTGGGCTGCGCACACCGTTCATCAAGCGGTCAGCGGTGAAGTTAAATATGGAAGGACTTTCCAGCAGTCCGGGCCCCCTCTCTGCACTGGGGATGGCATGGCGCAGGTGAGACTTACTAGGATTCCTGCAGACGAAACGTTTGTGCACACTCAGTTCCTAAATGATCATGGTGTTAGGAAACAGGTGTGCCAACACAGAAACGGCTGAGCAAAAGTCTGCTCTCTACTTAGGGAAAATATTTGCAATGATACTTTAAACAGTCAGCTCCTGATACGTCTGGTAAAGCAAACCTAAACACAGCATCAATGTTCTGCATGGCTGCAGCTACATCTGAATGAAAAGGAGACACTAATGAAGGCAGTGCACCCGTCCCCACGGGGCGCAGGACACACACAACAGGGAGCTCCGTGCTTGAGTCTTTCACCCCGCTGGGCAGGACTGCTGGTCACACCCACCGTCAGTGAGCAGGGCACAGCCTCTCTACTGAGTGTGACCACTGAGTGTGATCACACGCACCTGCTAGCCTTTGGCAGTGCACAGTGTGGAAGCAACCTCCTGTTACAACCCTGCAAAGACTGCAGCCTTCCCCTCTCACAGACTTGCCTGCTCCTCGGAGGGTACTGTCTGAGTGAAGCCAGAGGAGATGCAGCAGGTTTGAAGGTTGGAGACGTGAACCCATTTATAAATCCAGTATTTGGAAATGGCGTTACCTAGAAAACAGACTTCACGTTGGTTAAATCTGGTAGCGGATATTTGCATCACACTTGGAGCGCTCACCGAAGAGAAGAGCGCTGGGCAGGATGACTGCCAATGGCCAAGGTGTCCTGAGAGCCCACAACAACCCCCAGGAATCTGCCTCACATACATGGAAGGGAGCACCTGCCCAGAAGCCCACCCCCTGGCCCCCACCTCCCTCGTTGAGCACAGGCAGAGCACAGGACCCACTCGCTCGTTTCCAGAGTCCCAGTATCCAGGCCAACATCCCCACTGTGCCAACACCAAGCCACCCACTCTGTTCCTGGTGACTTCAATAAAATCCATCAGAGTCCTCAATCCTAGGGACAGTCAGGAATCTCTGTCATAATCATGACCTCTGAGAGGCTCTTTTAACCTCAACTGCATGTAAGTCTTGCTCTGAGTATCATATTTTCAGATCATTCATAATTATGCCCCGACTCACAATTCATGGTAATATACTACATACAAATATACTAACATATCATGTCATAAAAAAATTAGGTTCACAGTGCCCTTAAAAAATACAATACTAAATACAATCTTAAAATGTAAAAAAAAAAAAGCTTAAGTGCAGAATTTTAAATATCAGCCAATTGTTTTAGAAAATCTAGTCACAAAAATAAGATAAAACTTAGTGTTGAAATGGTTCTCTTTTAAAAAAAAGATGAAGAAGGATCACTCCAGTTTTCTGGATTCTGAACTGTGGTTTCAAACATTTTCTGTATTGTTTATACAGAAACATTGATTGATCCAAGGCATTTAACCCCCAAGTGCCACCCAGTTACCGCCTACATTAAAATGAAAGGAAAAGTCAAAAAGCTGGCAGTTGCTCCTAACTAGAGCTAACCAAAAGCTGTAATATGATGACTAGAAACAGTTCAAGACCAAAACAAAATCATTTGAAATTTTAAAAGGAAATGAAACCAACAAAAGGGAAACTCTAAGGGAGAAAGATGCAGTGAAAGCTGTGTTAGCATCTCTGAAGTTCTTCTGTAGAATCATCGTGTACTTAGAAACATACCCATCACACCAGAAGTAGATTCTGAAGACTGTAAATCATGGAAGAACACTTGAGATGAATCAATTCATATGTGCAATTTTACACGTACAACTATGGAATTTAAGTAACTGTGCTCAAGAGTTTAAATAAAAACAAACTGGTTGCTAAGGCAGTTGGTAACACAACTTGTTGAGAACTAACTGGCCCCATCTCGTCGATCCTGCTCACAATGACACAACCTGTTTTAGAGCAGTTTCTGGGCCTCACGTGGCCCAGCCAGACCAAAGGGACTAGCCACTTGTCCAGACGACTGATGCAGAGGTGAAGGACAAACACAACTAGAGCACAGAGACAAAAGCACACAGTAGGCCTCCTCTGGAGCAACCATTCACCCAAGAGTGACGGACACTGCCACAGTCCTCGTTTGCAAAAAACTGAGCACTGGCAAAGTGCAATGAAGCCTGCCATCCATCCTCCATTGTCCGGGACTGTCACAAGCTTAGGAAACACTACTCTCCCCTTCAAACCACGTCCCATTGCACCCCTTCTGTGCTCAGAAGGACCCAGCTATCCCAAAGCTCATGACGACATGTCATGCTGTTCTCAGGGCTACACAGCTCAGAGAGGAAACAGACGACAGGAGGGAGGCAAACAGGTAAAGGATGGGGATTGCATCATTTGAGATTTCTTCAAGTTTCTGCAGCTCTTTATTATCTCCCACTGAAACTGAAAACCCCCATGGAGCATGAAGGCCCATCTGACCGCACCACCTGAACTGGCATCCCCCTAGAGGAGGGTCTCTACCACTAGCCATCTGAACTGGCATTCCCCTTAGAGGAAAGTCTCTATCACCCGCCATCTGAACTGGCATCCCTTTAGAGGAGGGCATCTACTGCCCAACGCACCAAGGGTCTGCGACAGGAGCTCCAGTAAGGCCGACTCACCAAGGGCGGGTCAAGATAGCTGTGTGTCGCTGACCACGTCTGGGGGGCTATCAGGCTGTACAGAGGGAACTGCTGCTGGGGACTATAGACTGGAGGTAAGTAAAACGACGCTGTGTAGCGCTGCTGTGTGTAGAGGCTCATGTCCAGAGGCCTAAAGCCATTCTTTGGCAAAAACGTGTTTATAGCTATTGCCTTCGCCTTTATCCGTGCCTGTGTGAAAACACAGAAGTTTCAGTTATTAATAGAATACTTAAAGACATTGATATGCAGGTAAAGCGTAACCAATGGTCTTGCTTACCTTAATTGGTTTTCCTTGAAAGGTTTTGACTTCTTCTCTCAGATATTTGTAAGCCTGAGGACAAAATCATCCATAATACCATTGTGTTAATCTTATAACATGAACGTACAATTAACTCAGTACCTCAAGTAAGCAATTATGTAGTCAGAATATGGTGGATGAGACCTAGAACAAGGATTCTTCACCTTTTTTGGGTCATGGATTCCTTAAAAGATCTGGTAAGAAATATGGAGCCCCTACCCCGAATTCTCAAATTAGTATGATGTTATAAATTGATTACCTGTCAATAAAGAGAAAAAAGGAAAAAAATTCTCACGAGCAGTATCTGTATATAATTTAAGTGTTAACAGAAAGCACACAGCATTTCACAGACCCTAGGCTGAGAGTCCTCACCTGGAAGAACACCAAGCTCCTAGTAATAACCCCATGAGCACTCAGAATCACATGGCTCAGGGTTTTGATGTTCAGAATTCACTGCTTAGACAGCTCCTTCCTCATCTCCAAGTTCTACATAGCTCTGAGGGCTTGGCATCCCCCGAGTAGGCCTTGTGCCGTGTTCTCCACACTGGAGGGGGCTGGAGAGGTGGCTGGCACCTGCTCCACACACCTGCCCCACACACCTGCCTTCTCTCATCTCCCATCACCCTGCTTCTCCTGGTCCCTCTCTTTCCCTCCATTCAGTTAAAACTTGTCTTTCAGGCTCCTCTCTCTCCCCTGAAGCCCCTGAGGTCTCGCCATGCACATCTCACACTCCACGGCTGTTCCTCTACACAGGCAAGTGCTTCCTCTGAACATGATGCTTCCTTACACGGCAGGGAGCCGTCTGAACTCCCCACCTCCCAGACGGCTCCTCCGTGCCTTCTCAGGCACTTCGTAACACAAGGCTGCCCAGACAACGTTAGAGTTAGGTACAAATTTCCCAAACACTGAAATCATTCTCTGTACAGAGATAAGAACAGAACCAGTTTTCCTAGGTTGCCCGTGTTACATGTCCTTAGAAAATCTAATGCCTATGCTCCACACACTGCTACAAAACTGTTTACATACACATATATACACACACACACACACACACACACACACACCCCTATTTAGGATTTCCCTGCGCTTTAGGTTCACTGCAGATGGTGACTGAAGCCGTGAAATTAAAAGATGCTTGCTCCTTGGAAGAAAAGCTATGACAAACCCAGACAGCATATTAAAAAGCAGAGACATTACTTTGCCAACAGAGGTCCATCTAGTCAAAGCTAGTTTTTCCAGTACTCATGTATGGATGTGAGAGTTGGATTATAAAGAAAGCTAAGCGTCAAAGAATTGATACTTTTGAACTGTGGTGTTGGAGAAGACTCTTGAGAGTCCCTTGGACTGCAAGGAGATCCAGCCAGTCCAATCCTAAAGCAGATCAGTCCTGAGTGTTCATCGGAAGGACTGATGTTGAAACTGAAACTCTAATACTTTGGCCACCTGATACGAAGAACTGACTCACTGGAAAAGACCCTGATGCTGGGAAAGACTGAAGGCGGGAGGAGAAGGGGACACAGAGGATGAGATGGTTGGATGGCATCACCGACTCAATGGACATGAGTCTGAGTAAACTCCAGGAGTTGGTGATGGACAGGGAGGACTGGCATGCTGCAATTCCTGGGGTCGCACAGAGTTGGACACGACTGAGTGACTGAACTGGACTCAGAGCCAATCGTCACCCCTGTGCCCGCACTGAGCCCTACCATGTACTGACTGCAAAGTGCTGGTAAACTGCATTTCACGGGGTATGGGGCAGGGGGTGCACAGGAAGAACTTACCTGTTGTGCATCAGCTTCTGTTTCAAATGTAATAAACCAATTATCATTATAGGCAAATTCACAGTTTATAAATCTCGGTAAGTTATCTCCTTTAAATAGTGCTTCTACTTCCTACAGGAAACAGAGAAGTTAGAAATTAATTCTCAACTGAGCACCGTTTGTCTTCACTAAAGAAACACGAGGCCTGTTCTTAAGGACAGATGCTGAAAAGACAACCCCAGCTCACCGAAGTCCAGAGCTCTCTCTCCAGGTGGCTGTGCAGGCACCTGAAGTAGCTTCCAGAATTACGATCCCATTGCCACAGTAAATAAGCTCACAACCCACTGACGGCTCTCCCAAACCCCAAGAGACCAGTAATTAAATTAATGGGAAAATACCAGTAGGCTAACAACGACACAACTTAGAGTGGGAGAAAGATAATTTAAGAAATAAAAAAATGAGATTAACCAGATTTACCCTCCCACATAAGATAATTACAAACAAAAGATAAAATACATGAAATAATGGCTTTCAGATAGTGTACCCTGGGCTGTGCGGGACAGCATTCTGTAAGAAGAACAGGTATAGATGGTCTACGAGTGCCTGACTCATGGGTGGGGCTTCCAGGCTGTGGTGCCCGGAGGGTGGGCACAGGCCTGGTACAAAGCTCCAGAGCTCAGGGGGATCCCCCAGGGCTCTGTGCTTGGGACACAGTGACCTGGAGTGGAGAGAACCCCCCCTCACCAAGAGTTCTCCAGGATCAGGGAGAGTCTCTAGCAGCCGGAGTGGAAAACGGAGCTCACTCAGGACCACAGGCGGAGCCCTCAGGAAGCACTGGCCCAGGATGAGGCCAATCTGCTTCCACTGGTCCAAGTCACTGAAGTGAGTTGCAAACAGCTCAGGAGCATGCACAGCAAGGAGCACAGGATGCTCCATGCCCAAGAAAGCAAACCCCAAACGCCTGGCATCCACCCTAAGTTTGCCAGGTGCACGAAGAAATAGAAACACATGACTTACAGTGAAAAAATCAACCACCAAATTAGACTGAGAAATGCACGGACACTGGCATCTTGGCTCGAGTTGAGCACAAGCCACGCTGGTGTGCACAGCACCCCTCACTGTGAAAACACTTGCTCTGAGAGTTATTCAACATGAACGTGTTCTCTGTCTCAACTTGGTGGTTTACCATTTTTACTTCAAAATGAGTTAAGTATTGAAACGTTTTTTCTTTCTAACTTCTAAATACTGAAGTTACCATAAACTCTATTTTAACAAAAGATAGAGGAGAAATGACTTACTTCTACAGGGGTGGACTCGGGTATCTCACGTAGTATCACTATGCAACGGTTCTGATTTGGCCTTACTTTCTCTCCCTTCTCATCCACTTGGACTAAAGGTAAAGCTGTATGTAAAGAGAAGAGAAAAGGATGGAACACAGATATTAAAATAAGTCCACCATCTGCATTCCACTGCAACCTGATGGAGATATTCCAGCAGGACATCAGACCATATTGCCAGGCGCATTAAAGAAAGCTGTACACAATGGGGAAACCATCAAATCTGTGACAGTTTAACACATAAGCTATGGAAAGGTTCAGACCAGTCTTACCTGTTACATTTAGGGGCTCTGGGGAGTCCTGCAGGAGCTGCGATAGAGGCAACTCTGTGATACAGGCCCTCCACAGCTTAAACCACCCCAAGCCCATTACAATGCAAAACAAAGGTTTTCTCCTTTCTGTAAGTCCCCTGTCTCCTTACAGATTAATTCTGAACTCAGAGAAGCTGCCAAACACTGTTCCCTCAGCCTCCCCTAGTGATGGATCTTCCTCGACCACAGTCTACCATCAAAACAAGGGTCAACACTGCCAGCCAGCATGGGGACAGGCCCAACTCAGGTTTCACTAGCTTTTACCTTACCTCTTTTTTGTAAGGTTTTATTTTCTGGAGTCACTCTGTTCAGAGTTTATCACAGGCAGACTCAGGTCACCACACAGCAACATCACAACCAGGGCCCAGAGCTGTGCACCCCTGTGCAGACACGCATTACCCCCCCCCCCCAGGAATAGAATCATCATTTCATGATGGGTTCACTAATTTGAGAGGATGATAAGGGAATACTATGAAATAGTTCAGGCTAATAAATTAGACAAGCTACATGAAATTGAAACATTCCTTAGCACCAAAGCTTAAGTTTGGGAAGCAGGATCTGTGAGAGAAGACCACTCATGGCTCACAAGGTTTCTGGAAAATCCTACCAAACATTAAGAAAGAAAGAACACCTACTCTACAGTACAAACTCTTCTGAAACACTTAAGACAATACTTTCTAATCCAGCCTATGAAGCCCAACTAAAAATACCAATAGAACCTTTTGAAAAACCAAAATGTTGATTTCTGAAAATCACATGGAAATGCCAAGCACTTAGAAGAGCCAAGATCAAGATGGAGATTCACAACTACTCTAAGAATGACGACACAGTAAAGCCAGTACCATCCACATGCTGCAGCAACGGCATCAAGACAGACAGATGGAGGATAGATACATGGCCCAGAGAGAAACCACCAAGGAGTTTACCCTGACAACTGGCCCAAAGGCAGTGCCCTGGGGAAAGCGGAGCCTTCTCAATAAGTGGAGTGGAACAGCAGCACATGCACATGTAAGGGGGGTAGAAAGCCCACACCACATACAAAAATCAGCTGACAATGGACCACAAACCTAACAGTGTAAGCCCTAAAACTGCAAACATCTGGGAGAAAACCTCAGAAATGCGACCTTGGATTAAGCAAAGATTTCTCAGGAACAACACCAAAAGTAAGATCCATAAAAGAAAAAAATTAATAAACTGGTCTATATAAAAAATTCAAAACTCTGCTTTTCAAAAGACACTATTAGGAGAACAAAGAGAAGCCACAGACAGGGAGAATATATTTGCAAGTCATATTTCTAGTAAGGACTTAAATACAGATCACATATCTCAAACTGCACACATACACATGCCCCTCAAATCTCAGCTGTAAGAAAACTCAAAAAATAAAAGAAAAAGCAAACAGAAGTGAGGCATTTGAATAGACACCTCAGCAAAGAAGCACCTTAAAGATGGCTCGATGTCATCAGGCGCTAAAGAAATAGAAATTAAAACCACAGTGAGACACCATCACACACCTGCTAGAAAACCTAGAACAGCCCCTCTGTGAAGGAGGCCTTGCAGGGGCACCAGGAGACCCTAGGCAGTAGTGTCTGTAACCCTGACTGTGGTAAAGCTTTTGTCAATGCACACGGGATGATCAACTCAACTGTACCCTTTAAATACACAAAGTTCATGATGTGTCAATTATATTTCAGAACAGTGGCTTTTAAAAACAAATAAAATGGTAAAGTTGTGGAACCTCTGTCTGCAAAGTGCACCAGGAAGTTCACACCTAAAATATTCACCCTTCCTGAGCTCCCATGGGTCTCTCAAGTAACCATGAAACCAAGAAATAACTTCATTCACAATGTGCTGTTAAGGAATAACACAATAATATATCACCAATACTTCAGCAGGAAGCAGGAATTTGAAAAGAACTCCTCTGACAGGGCGTGCCGATTCACATGCACGCTCCTTCATCCTGAAGAGTTCTTTTTTTTTTCTTGAAGAGCTCTTGACTGCACCTCTCATTCACACTCTTCCCACTAGTCCATTCGACTCTCAGCACCCATAACCTAGGATGCACCTGAGGCTGTGGTTCCACAGCACACTGACGCCCAGTGCGACGTGCGCCTCCCCAGACTGTCAGAAAGTCCGGAGGGTGACAAAGTCACCACTTGCCGTTGAGTCCTTAGCACAAACGGCTGTGCCTCTAAGTGTCATGCTGCCCAGAAAAATGCCATCTGGACCATGGACGACACAGCCTGGACTACAGTCCACTTACATCTCAGCACCTCAACAATCAGGTCCATGTCGGTGCTGAGCTTCTTGATGTGGTCCAGGTTAGCTACTGTGGTGATTGGCACGTACTGGTCACTGTCCATCTGAGATATAAGATACATGTCACTAGCAAGGTTCTCCCTGCAAGAAGAAGACAATCTTTCTTAGTTCACAGCTTTTTTAAAAAAAATTTTCACAGCTTTATTAAAAGGAAGCTTCACGAGAGGAATGAGTGTGTACAATGTACTCTGCTATTTGCCATCTCTCTGACCTTGGGTCAATTTTGTCAAAGACATCTTGAGAAGAGGAGAGAGCAAGTAGACTGCACTTTATACAATCAAAACCAGTAAGCAAGTAAATCTTTAAAAATTATTTCTAGCTTATCTTTGTTCTAAGAAAGTGTTTGAGAAGCTTATTAAAAATAGAAACACAACTTCTTAAAGTAAGTAAACCCAGCTGAGAGAATGAGAAAGTAAGAAAAACGTGAAAAGGCCAAGAAAAGCTGGTACCCAGAGTGCTTGTGGTTCGGGCTGAACAGCTGTCAGAGAGGCTATGGCTCCACCCCTGGCCTCCCAGCTTCTGCAGGAGAGGCTGGAAAAGCAGGAAAGTAACCAACAGCATGACCCACACCACCACCTGCGAGACTGACCACCTATGGACCCACTCCCGAAGTCTGATTCCAGGGGCAGGGGATGGCGATAGGAGACCTTGACTTCCTACAGATGGAGGTACAGACACAGATGTTAACATATAAAGTACTACATCTACACAGATGTAGGTACCAGGTGCTAGAAAAACACTACCATCCTTACCTAGACAAACAGAATTCCAATGTCTTTTTAAGTACTTCCCGGGGATCTTCCTGGCTTTCTGGTTGAGATTCATTCCCTCCTATATAAAGGCAAAGAAAAAATGGCTTAAATTCACCAAGCACTTGATTCAGTATAGCAATTTTAATGGTTTCAATATACATAGTAATTTATCTACATAACAGCAAATATAAAAACAATTATTTTACAAGGAATTCATATAGGCAAGCAAAACGAAACGAAAAATCCCTTACCCCCCAAACAAAAAGTTTGAAAAAACCTGAGGAGTAAGATTTATTAGCAAAGTTTAGCAGGAAAGCTTGTCTCAATTCAAAAAGGATTTTCAGTTCACGTTTATACAACCTTTCTGCGTTCCCTGTGTAGAGAAGATCCTTTAGCATTTGTTGAAGAGCTGGTTTGGTGGTGCTGAATTCTCTCAGCTTTTGCTTGTCTGTAAAGCTTTTGAATTCTCCTTCATATATGAATGAGATCCTTGCTGGGTACCGTAATCTAGGTTGTAGGTTATTCTTTTTCATTACCTTAAGTATGTCCTGCCATTCCCTTTTGGCCTGGAGGGTTTCTATTGATAGATCAGCTGTTATACTTATGGGAATTCCCTTTGTGTGTTATTTGTTGTTTCTCCCTTGCTGCTTTTAATATTTGTTCTTTGTGTTTGATCTTTGTTAATTTGATTAATATGTGTCTTGGGGTGTTTCGCCTTGGGTTTACCCTGTTTGGGACTCTCTGGGTTTCTTGGACTTGGGTGGCTATTTCCTTCCCCATTTTAGGGAAGTTTTCAGCTATTATCTCCTCCAGTATTTTCTCATAGCCTTTCTTTTTGTCTTCTTCTTCTGGGACTCCTATGATTCGAATGTTGGGGCGTTTCACATTGTCCCAGAGGTCCCTGAGGTTGTCCTCATTTCTTTTGATTCTTTTTTCTTTTTTCCTCTCTGCTTCATTTATTTCCACCATTTTATCTTCTACCTCACTTATCCTATCTTCTGTCTCCGTTATTCTACTCTTGGTTCCCTCCAGAGTGTTTCTGATCTCATTTATTGCATTATTCATTTTTAATTGACTCTTTTATTTCTTCTAGGTCTTTATTGAACATTTCTTGCATCTTCTCAATCTTTGTCTCCAGGCTATTTATCTGTAACTCCATTTTGTTTTCAAGATTTTGGATCATTTTTATTCAAGCAATAAATGCTGGAGAGGATGTGGAGAAAAGGGAACCCTCTTACACCGTTGGTGGGAATGCAAACTAGTACAGCCACTATGGAGAACAGTGTGGAGATTTCTTAAAAAACTGGAAATAGAACTGCCATATGACCCAGCAATACCACTTCTGGGCATACACACCGAGGAAACCAGATCTGAAAGAGACGTGCACCCCAATGTTCATCGCACCACTGTTTATAATAGCCAGGACTTGGAAACAACCTAGATGCCCATCAGCAGACAAATGGATAAGGAAGCTGTGGTACATATACACAATGGAATATTACTCAGCCGTTAAAAAGAATTCATTTGAATCAGTTCTAATGAGATGGATGAAACTGGAGCCCATTATACAGAGTAAAGTAAGCCAGAAAGATAAAGAACATTACAGCATACTAACACATGTATATGGAATTTAGAAAGATGGTAATGATAACCCTATATGCAAAACAGAAAAAAGAGACACAGAGGTACAGAACAGACTTTTGGACTCTGTGGGAGAAGGCGAGGGTGGGATGTTTCGAGAGAACAGCACGTATATTATCTATAGTGAAACAGATCACCAGCCCAGGTTGGATGCATGAGACAAGTGCTCAGGCCTGGTGCACTGGGAAGACCCAGAGGAATCAGGTGGAGAGGGAGGTGGGAGGAGGGATCAGGATGGGGAATACATGTTAACTCCATGGCTGATTCATGTCAATGTATGACAAAACCCACTACAATATTGTAAAGTAATTAGCCTCCAACTAATAAAAAAAAAAAAAAAAAAAAGGATTTTCAGGTGACCTACAAGCAGACAAGATGCTAAGAATATAATAAAATATAAAGGAAATAAAGTAACTAAAGAGTTTTTAGACACTACTATATAGATTTGCATGGCATACTAATAATACATGTAGGATTTTCTAACAGGAGACACTAGCATTTTAAAAGTCAAAGTTAAAGACTATCAAAAAGCAAAGACAAAGTGGAAAAACTGATGACAAAGAGACATAAAGAGCTTCAATAAAATCTATCCCCCATCAGGAAAAAACGAAACCAAAACAAACAAAACTAACAGACCTAATGAGACTGAAAATTCTACGGATAGCAGTATCTCCTGAGACACCTCCTGCGTGCCAGGCCCTGCTGCAGAGCTGCCTGTGTGTGTGCTGTGTGCTCACTCATGTCTGATCTTTGTGACCCTGTGAACTGCAGCCCGCCAGGCTCCTCTGTCCATTGGATTCTTCAGACAAGAATACTGGAGTGGGCTGCCATGCTTTTCTCGAGGGGATCTTTCTAACCCAGGGATCAAGCCCATGTCTCCTGCATCTCCTGCACTGGCAGGTGGGTTCTTTAGCACTGAGCCACCTGGGAAGCCCCAGTAGAGCTGCTTACTCAGCCTAAAAGAGGCATTCTCTGCTCTTAGAAGGAGGCAATCAATAGCCAAACAAGTAAACAGTAAATAGGTAGAATCGGACACAAAGGAGAAAACCAAGGGCACAAGCAGACTCAACACAGAAGGAATAATCAGCAAGCTGGAAAACAGGTCATGTGAAATTAGTCAGCTAGAGGAACACAAAGAAAAAAGAATGAACAAGGAAGAAAGCCTACCTGACTTGTGATACACCACCAGCAGTATTTCTGTATACTAACAACAAGCTATCTGAAGAAGAAACTAAGAAAACAATCCCACTCACAACTGCAAGTGAAAGAATTAAATACCCAGGAATAAATCTAACCAAAAGGAGAAAGATCTGTAAGCTGGAAACCCGAAGCTACTGATGAAAGAAATTAAAGACAAGTAAATGAAAACATATCCCCATGTTCTTGGGTTAAAAGAATACTGTGAAAATCTCCATGTAAAAATATTCCAAGCAATCTACAGATTCAATGCAATCACTTCTTATCAAAATTCCAATGGCATTTTTTGCATAAGTACATCAAACAACCTTAGAATTTGCATGGAACCAAAAGACTCTCAATAGCGAAAGAAATCTTGAGTAAGAAGAACAAAGCTGGAAGCATCACACTTCCTGACTCCAAACTACTTTGAAAAGTTATAGTTATCAAAAAAGTATGCTATTGGCATACAACAGACATACACACCAATGGAATAGAATGGAGAACCCAGAGATAAACCCACATGTATGTGACCAGCTGATCTTCAACAAGGCTGCCAAGAATACTTAAGTGGAAAGGACAATTTCTTCAATAAATAATACTGGGAAAACTGACAGCCACATGCAAGAGAATTAATGGAACCCTTATCTTACCCCATATTCAAAAACCAACTCAAAATGAATTAAAGACTTACACGTAAGAGCTGAAACTTAATGACTTACATGTAAGAGCTGAAACTGTATATTTAAAAAAAAAAAACACCCAATGTAAAAAAATGTCCTAGCCATCAGACTTGGCAACAATCTTTTTGGATATGACACCCAAAGCACAGGCAACAAAAGCAAAAATAAACATGGGGACTACATTCCATTAAAAAGGGTTTTGTATAGGAGAATAAGATGGCAGATGAGTAGGTGGACGTGAAGTACATCCCTCTCCATGGATACATCAGGAATGCACCTTCAGACACAGAAGTGCATGCAGAACATGGGCTGAGAGTGGACAGGAGGACCTGACCAGAGGAAAAGAATATACAGAACTACGCAAAACTTGATATCAAGCCCTGAGCCTTTGGAGTGGGAGTACTGGCTCCAAGACTCTAGACTACCAGAGAACTAACCCCAGGGAGTATCAAATAGTGTGAACTCACACAAAGGAAACCACGTGAATATAAGACCTGGCATTACCCAACCACCAGTAGCACCCTGTGCAGGACTCCTTATCTAACCAACAAATAAAACAAAAATACAAATCCAATCATCAGCAGACAGGATTACCACCTCACTCAGCACTGCTCATCAGAGGAAAAACAAACAAACAAAAACTCAGCACAAATCTCACTCTATATGAAGCTTACACAAACCATTGGACCAACCTTAGGAGGGCAGAAACCAAAAGGAAGAAAGAATTCAACCTTGAAGCCTGGGAAGAGGAGACCTCAAACACAGTAAGTTAAAAAAAAAAAAAAGAAAAGGCAGAGAAATACTACACAAATGAAAGAACAAACTAGAAACACAGAAGTCCAAATAAATGAAGAGGAAATAGGCAAACTACCTGAAAAAGAATTCAGAATAGTGATAGTAAAGATGATCAAAAACCTTGAAAACAAAATGGAGAAAATGCAAGAATCAATGAACAAAGACCCAGAAGAATTAAAGGATACACATACAGAGACAAACAACACAATTACTGAAATTAAAAATATTCTAGAAGGACTCAATAGCTGAATATCTGAAACAGAAGAACAAATCAGTGAGCTGGAAGATAAAATGGTGGAAATAACTTCTGAAGAGCAGAATAAAGTAAAAAGAATGAAAAGAATTGAGGATAGTCTCAGAGACCTCTCAGACAATATCAAAACACCAACATTCAAATTATATGGGTCCCAGGAGAAGAGAAAAAGAAAGGGTATGAGAAAATTTTTGAAGAGATTATAGTTGAAAATTTCCCCAACATGGAAAAGGAAATAGTCAATCAATTCCAAGAGGCACAAAGAGTCCCATACAGGATAAACCCAAGTAGAAACACACCAAGACACACACTAATCAAACTAACAAAGACTAAACACAAAGAAAGAATATTAAAAGCAGCAAGGGAGAAACAACAAGCAACATACAAGGGAAACCCTGCACCCTTAACAGCTGATCTTTCAGCAGAATCTCTGCAGGCCAGAAGAGAATGGCAGGATATATTTAAAGTACTGAAAGGGAAAAATCTACAATCAAGATTACAGTACCCAGGCAAGGATCTCATTCAAAATTG